CCCCCCCCCCAGGTCTGTCTGCTGCTGCTGGCATCGGGGTGGACGACCTGCGCAGGCTGTGCATTCTGCGCATGAGCTTCGTGAAGGGCTGGGGGCCCGACTACCCACGACAGAGCATTAAAGAGACACCCTGCTGGATAGAGATCCATTTACACCGAGCTCTGCAGCTACTGGACGAAGTTCTGCACACCATGCCCATCGCTGACCCCCACCCCCTTGACTGAGTTAGAAGACATGAACTGTACAAAAAAAGAAAACCATCAGACTGTGCTTTATTGCTGCGAGCATTGAGCAGAATACTGAGTGAGACTCCAGGTCTGAGAGTGTCAGTGGCTTCCAACAGCTGGAGGAAACGCAGGAAACACGCTGCCAACAGGAGGGGAAAGGAAGCCAGCATTCTGACATTAGTCACCAATTGGAACTTAATTATAGCAGGAAGTCAAAGAGGATACATGAAAACTCACTCACTGATATGAATGAAAAACTTAAAAGAGATTAAAAGAGGCAGAAATCAGTTAATGAATTAGCCTTGGTGGTAGAGAAAATACAAAACAAGAGAGTAGGGTGTCAAACACAATTATGCATACTTGGCTGTCATCTTATTTTAAGAGTTAACATTCCCACACTTGTGAATCAGATTTAAAGAGCCCCTGACTCAAGAAACCCCTTTTTTTTTTAAATGGCCTTTTCATAAGTAAGCGGGGGAAGCAGAGCACAATTCGATGGATTGGATAAAAACGTGTTATTACCTGTCTGAACATCCTAAATGTCATTTCAGCTGGAGCAAACTGCTGATCCAGTCTCTGCGCTGCTTACAGGGCTAAATGTAAGTGGAGTTTCTCACCTCACAAATCAGGACATTTATGATAAATCATATTGTTCATTACTTATGTTCTTGTAAGATGTGCTCTTAAATATTTCTCAACCATGGCAGTCCTTGTTGGATGTTTTTTTTTTATATTATCCTTTATTAATAGTTGAGATAAATGGCATTTGAAAAGCTGCCGTTGGCTAACCACAGCTTCGCTTTGAACACTATAAAACCTTTATTCATCGGTTATTGTTAGATCACCAGTCAAGGTTGTTGTGACACTGAGAATGGATATTTTTTTCTACTGTTTTTCAAATACCAAAATTACATTGGAATCAATCAAGAAAAGGTTATAATAACGCATAAAAATATTACTCATACTGTAACTGTCATTTTTTTTAATTAGATGCCCACTTAGTGTCCATTATCACTGCCTTGTTTCATGGCCTCATGCATGGTTACTTTTGTATCCATATTATTACTTATAATAGTTTTCTTGATATTGTCCTTGGTAACATCCATGAAAAATGTGTTTTAAATTGTCTGGCCAAAACCTCTATTCCATATCAAATACTTAAATCACAAATGTGTATTTAGCTCCATTCTCGCAAAAATGACTGAACATATTTTGAGTTGTGGTTTAAGATTGGTTTATAAAATGTTATATCTTGTCTGTTTGGGATAAAACTACCGTGAACAATCACCTTTCAAACGTACGGGCATCTCTGGTACTGAAGTACTCACTACCCCCATTTTAATTGCGTATTACTTGGATGACACTTACTGTAACATATTCCAGACATCTGCTGATTAAAGTAGGCAAAGGAAGAACTGTGAGAGGAAGTGCAAGCCATATTAACGCCAAATATACCCTATGAAAAGTGAAAAGGTTATCAAGATGCAATTTTAAGGCTGTGCCGCTCACGTATACCCTTACTTTTAACTGAAAAAGTTCAGTTTTGGCTCAGCATAATTAATCAACAATATTTTGGTATTTGGAGCTTTGTTTACCTACAGCTGTTAGTGTTTTATACTCTTTTGCTACCTTTACAGTGATAAAACCATATAATAATAATAATGCTGTACATTTTTCCGGATATGCCTCATCTTGCTCATCTTTGTCTTTACGCTTTGTGTCAAACATTTTCTGAATATATACCGAGTTGGAATGATATTAGTGTTCATATGTATGCGAATGGTTGAATAAAATTCAATGGGCTAACACTATTGTTTTGGCGTCGAGAAATGTTCTTAATTTAGAATTAGATAAGTGTGGGTTTAAAATTGTGAGAGGACACTTGACTTTGAACAAGAAAACGTTTATTACTGCAAAGACGAATCACAAATCTTTAAGAAAACAACACTAAGAAGCTAGCCTGAGCTGAGATCTGAAATATTCAGAAAACCAAACTACATGTGTCTTTTATAGTTTCTATATTCATCAATACGACACACTAAATGATAATGTCTTTATAAATATAAAAGTCCCCCAATTGTCCTCGTTTTTTTATGTAAAATACACAATACAAATCACCCTACACGCATTGGTTCGCTTGCCAATTTCAGAAGAAAAACGTAATGGCACACAAAAAGGTCACATTTAAATTTGTGTGTATATATTATATCAGATACTATACATTATCCAAAACAAAAGAGGAAAAAGAAATCACAAAAGCACTTTAGCCAACATATCTGATCAAATGTTCACCAAGAGAACAAATCAAATAATTAAGACACAAATAAATATACCTTTTTCAGTTTTTGATATATACATATGTTTGTCTAGGGTGAATGAAAAAAGAAAACTTTCCCCAAATGCCACTGCCAAATGCTTGTGCTTGCATTAGAGCGTGCTACAGATGGCCACGACTCACTAGACTGTCAAATGGCACTTGAAAACATCCAAATACAAATCTCAAACAGGTCACAGCATTCAGAAAATATCATTTGACAAAAGAAATCACCATCATGAGAAAAAACGAGTCATAGGAGAGCATTTTACTTACAGTCGCTCTCCTTGTTCAGTTCTGTACAATAAAAAGCTGTTTGCAGGTAATCTACCATGTGTAAACTACTTAGTGTGTGTGTATGTGTGGCGTCACATCCAGTAAATAAATAGTCTGAGGACAGGTCTTTATGCTTCCCTGGGGTCTTCTCAGTGGCAGCACCTGTGTAATGAAATGTCTGCGCTGATAGCCTCCATCTGTAGCCCACCAGAGACCCAATAGTCGCCCAGGCCATCTGCTGTGGCCGGGGCGAAAAGAAAGGCACTGGAGTCTGCTCTGGGTCAGTGAAGCTGCCGTTATGTCCAGGTGAAGAGGCATCCTCCCGCTCCCGTGACAAATAAGGAACTGCTTTTTTTTTCTTTTTTTCTCTGGTTCAAAACAGGCTCCTTTGCAAACAGCTGTTACAAAAACAATCTTCTCGATTTCAAAGACACTGAGAAATAAAGTACAATTGTGTTGGCAGCATTAGCGTCAGTCCAGTGTTAACCATGAGATGCAGAAAGCAACAATATCACTGTCTGGCACATAGACTCTAGAGTGGGAAAAACAAAAATGACAAAAAAAACGAAACACCACCGTTTCTAGCAGCACATGGTAGTCGTGCAAGACCAGAAAGCACTTATGATCCTAAAGCACACAATTAAGATTTAAAGAAAACTTTTTTATAAGCCGTTTTCACTTCAGGCACAAAATAATACAAGTTCTATGTATATGACAAGGGAGCTGAAATTCCTATTTGAAAAAAAATCCTTTAGTGGTACAAAGGTCAAAACCTGAAGCAAGAAAAAGTATCCTGCTAAACCTTCCGCTTGCTAACGGCAACACATTATCCAGATTTACAACATCATTTCAGATTTAAAGTCGCAGACTGAACCTCATTTTCTTTAGAACGTCATTCTCAAAATATTCAGTGCATGTTGGAGTCGGTCAAATGAGCTCTTGGGTATGGAGTTGCAGTTATTTATGATTTATGAGCAGCTCTGGAGAAAGTATAAGAGCTATTCTAAGTCTTATGTTTTCGTATGCATTCGTTCTTATATTGGACATTTTCATTACTTTTCTCTGCAACTTGGCAGTTTATTACCAAAAGTCAGGAGGAGTTCCTTATGGCCGTGAACTGATGCTTCGGGCGTTCAACTTTCAGCTACCGAAAGTTCATTGACCTTTTCTTGCAGACTTTTCAAACTGCTCCGAGGAAAGTATGATTTGTTTGCGCTCAATTCTTAGATCTGGTAAGCCAGACATTTCAAAATCACTAAACTCGGTGTAAGTCTATAAGATGTGTACCGTAGGTTTAATCAATGAGGAAGGAATTTACTCTTCAGGTCCCCTAAGTGTCATTATCAAACAAAATACCTTCAAAAGTCTGCTGACCCAAAATCCTCTCTGACGTGCAGTGTTCCTCCCCCCCCCACCACCCACACTTACTGCTTAGCTTCTTTACACAGGAACAGTATAACAAAAATGGCAAAGATCATCTAATATCTAAAGAAAACATTTGACAAGTGATGGAGCCTTCAGAAAGTGATTACAGAACATACAGTGCCAACCCTTTTTCTTTTTTAACCTTAAAAACAAACAAAAGAACACAAAAACAAATCTGGTCCTCCTGTACAGTAGGTCTGCTGTTTGCAGTGGTATAATTCATTATCAGTAGTCCCCTTTAAAATATGTTTTAACGGGTAAGCATCTAAACCAAAACACAATAAATATTAATAAATAAAACATTTCTGCAGAGAAACCGGCAGACCAAACACAAATCCTTTTTAGTAACAAAATGTCCCTATTCAGAGGATTAATCTCAATAATCTCCACGACATACAGTAGAATGCTAGAACAGTTCAAGTATAGATGTAGTCTAATGAATCACAAGTGAGTCCC